TCTGTCTGTCTGTCTGTCTGTCTGTCGTTCTGTCTGTCTGTCCGTCCGTCCATCCGTCCGTCCATCCATCCATACATCCATCCATCAGGGATGCACTGAAATTAAAATTCTTGTCCGAAGCCGAAACCAAAACCAAACAAAATGAAACACTGGGCTATCTATCTATCTATCTGTCTATCTATCTATCTATCTATCTATCTATCTATCGATTAAAAAGTTATCTGTGAACAAAAGTTGTAAAATGCTTACATTGTGATTTGCTTTAGAACACATCAGAGCATTTTCCATACCCGTCTCCTCAGAATGATTGCTTTTTTATCAGAATAATACATATTCATGTGATATCGTCTGCCTTTTTATACACAGTGTCACCTCCTATGAATCTGCGAGTTCGAGGAGTGTCAGAGAACACCATTGATCTGGAATGGGAGGGGCCTGTGATCCTGACAGACTATCTCATCACTTACGCCCCCACAACCCCTGGTGGAGTCCAACTAGAGATCAGAGTCCCAGGAAATGTTACCAACACCACCATCAAAGGCTTGGGGCCGGGTCTGGAGTACAACATCAATGTGTACGCGGTGATCGACAGCATCATAAGTGCCCCAATGAACACCTTAGTCTCCACCTGTGAGTGCACTTCTCTCCTGAGAGCTCTTTTATTCAAATAGCATTGGTGTTTTGGTCAGATAAGGCTATTTTTCTATTGAAATGTCTGAGGTGTTTTGCATAGATCTTGAACGTGACATTTTCATTGTAAGTGCATCATTGTTACCCAAGCATGACCCAGGTTTAATAGACCTGGATGAGAGATGACACACTCCTTCACAGTCCCATTTGCACACACACACATACCTCATGTTAGTTCTTCAGAGGAACAACTGGCTGTCTTTGCCAACAGGATATGATTAGACATCCACCACCTGGTGAGTAGCAGTGCCAGATTGGCAAAATGCTAGAGGGCCTTTCGTATACAGTCACTGCTTGTCAGCCTTGAGCAAAATGCCTCAGCCTAGAATAGAACACATCATAACAAACATTCCATTATTTGTGAAAAGCCAGTTGGGCATTCTATAGACGATCATAAAGCACCACTGACTTGCCTTCTGTCTCTTACATTTTTGCAGGTAATTCAGAGATAATTCGCTTAGACTTCTGAGATATTCAACTAGTGGAGCCATAATTTCTGTAATGTAACAAAGATGAGACAAATGTTGAACATAATTGCCCATTTTCTGCAATTGAAGGATATGCTTGCAATAGCCAAAATCCTGTGCAGTTATCAATAGGAAAACACATCGCAAGGAAGGAATGAATAGAGAGAGAAAGCAAGGAAGGAAATAAAGAGAAAAGAGACAGATACAGTAAAAAAAAACAGTAATATTGTGAAATCTTATAACAATTTACAATAACTCTTTTATATTTTTCTTTATTATATAATGTAATTTATTCCTGTGATGGCAGTACTCTGGTCTTCAGTGTCACCTGATCCTTCGGAAATTACTCTAAGATGCTGCTTATTGTTATCCATGCTGAAAAAGGTTATGCTGATTAATATTTTGTGGAAACTGTATTATATTATATTTTTTTTTCAGAATTTTTATTATGTTAAAAACAGCACTTATATTAATAGAAATTTGTAACATTTTAAATGTCTTAAATCTAATTTTAAATATTGATCAATTAAATCCTTGCTAAATAAAAGCTTTAATTTCTTTTAAATAAAAAATTCTGCTTAACCCAAACTTTTGAACAGTAGTGTAAGTAGGTTAGTGTGAAGGAGAGCGACAGAGACTACTGACTACTGTCAGAGTTTATTTAGTACTATTTATTGTATGACTGCACATTATCACTTACTTGCAAACCTTTGTATGTCATCATATACATGGATGCAGCAGAACACTTCAAGCAGAGATAGCGTTTTATTACTGTTTCCATGATATTATTTCCAAATCCTCTGGAGGCTCTTACTTTTGTTGACACTGAAAAGGCTGGAGGTTCACTTGTGTACACTGTGAAATGACTGTAATGCTATTTCCTGACTTCTATTCTTCAGGTTTCCCAACTGCATTGTAGCGAATCAGCTCATGGGGAAATATGAATAATTAATCATAACTAGTTATAATTAATTATAAATATTTAGATCCGCTGTAGATATTTACTTGACCTCTCAGGGTCAACTGTCTGTCAATTCTAAGAACGTTAATTTCCTGGTTAAGGGAAATAACTTTCTTACTGTACAATTCTACACAGAGCTTGTAGCGTAAATCTGCATGATTAAGTGACTCCAGTTATGAGCAAACAATGAACAACGTCAAGTGTGATACAAGTAAGACTTTATTAACTACATAAACACTTAAACTAGTCCAACATACTACATAAACACTTAAACTGGTCTAACATACACATACACACTTAAACTGGTCTAACATACACATACACACACACACACACACACACACACACGCATACAGTTGGTATAGGAAAGGGTTAAAGTGTAAGCAGTAAAGAGGAAATAAGGAATGAAGTTATGGAACCATTTGCATATTCAAAATATATATTGTGTGTTTGATTGGTCCAGACGCTACACTGGTTCTTTTTCATCAACCAACTTCAGCAAAGATCAACTTGAACCGTTGGACTGCATCAAGCCTTTCTTTCAGACAGACGAGACGTGCAAGTAGATTAATTATTCATATTTCCCTTATGAGCTGATTCGCTACAGCATCCTTTATACAATAAATGTAAACTGATTTAAGACGCATTGCATATCTGGGAAAACTAAAATAATCTTGAATATTGAAACTCTCTGTATCCACTGCTCTCTTTTTACAGAGCTAAAAGCAGAGAGTAAAGATCCACCTTGGCTGAGAAAAATGTTGATTTATTGAACACACACAGGACGGAGGCCAATAATGCATCAATCTGTACCTTTTAGATCTCTCGAATCCAGCCGGTTTACTCTTCAAATCCATCATGGAGACATCCGTGGAGGTTCAGTGGCAACCCTTAGACTACTTGTTTGATGGTTGGGAAATAAGCTTCATTCCCAAGGTAAGGCGTTTCTTAGAAGGTCACACTTCATTTGATTCTGCCCCTGCGTAGCTTCTGGCGTAACAACACTAAGGGGTTTCTGGAATCTGGTAGCATTTGTGGACTTCAACATCTGCCGCATTGTATTTCCACAACAGTAAACAAGAAAACTGCAATGTAAGGTTTTGACAGACATCTGTGCACAGCTGATAAATTAATGCTTTTTGAAGCCAAAGATGATTCGGTTTCTGACAGGTGCCTCTCAGCATGATAAATGTCAATCTGTCCTTGTTTGAAAGAGAATTATTCTGCATCATGGCAGAAACACAATACATCCATGCAGAGATGTTCTCACTAATCCCCTTTCAAATGTTCCATCTGGAGAAAGGACAAAACATTTTCAGCACCCTCACAGGAAGAAGAAAAACGTCCAGCTCCTGCATGCCAGCAAAATGTGGAGCTTGTGCTCGGTGCCTCATTATGAAATAGCTGTGGGAGACATTGCCGTATGCAAAACAGCATGTCTCCTGTGCAACATACCTGTCATTTCACATCGAGGTGAAACATCTCTCCCTATGTATAATAACAAATACGCATCAGAGCCCCTGAGGCGTTGTTTATTTCGTTTGGTTGTAGACCCAGCCATTGAATCTGTAAACACACTCTTCCCCTCCAACAAAAGACATATCAGAGGTGTGCTTGTGTGTAATGGAAACTGGTAAAGTGGGGATTATGGTTTGCTTAAATGGTTCACACAAAGGATTTCCTTCAGCCAGGAGATGATTTGGCAAATCTGTTTGCAGACAGTTTTGAGAGCCCAGCCAAGTAAAAGCCACACATTTTAGGACCCCTTGAAGAGTGCAGTTTCTGTCCTGTGCTGGGAAGTCTGGGTCTCATCCCACTGTTTAGCTTCCAGCAAAATTCATAGCTTACGTCCTGGCAAAGTGAGTTTCATAAATTCTTCATTTTTGGACTAAAAGAAGAAAATAACTTGGAAACAAAGTCAAAAGCCTCTTTCGACAGAATAGGAAGTGAATACAAAGAAACTGACGGTCGAGGGTGGGGGGATCATGGTGTACTTCAATCTTCCATCGGTGAGAGGGTCTGCTAAGAGTACTGTGCATGAGAGCCAACTCTGGTACGCCACTGGGGAAATCATATTAGAAGTGGAAGTCCTATCCTCTGCGCATTTAATCCTACAAAGCGTAAGAGCCATACTGATTTTCCACAATATCGTAATGGATGCGAGGGCAGGGACAAGTGTGCGTTCACCGAGTCAATGGCAAAGAACAAAAGGAAAGAGGCTTTTTAGAACGGTCACATCTTCTGAAACCCCCTCGCACTTTGATATTGCTTGATTTCATAAGCGTTCCAGGGGAGGTTAGTTGATGTCTTGTGGGGTGCGATGCATCAAACTCACAAAGTGCTCTGCTAAGCGAGTTGGGAAAAAAACAAGGCTTGATTCAATACATCAAACATCTGGCGAAATGCATCTATGCTGAAATTCCAGCAGTTTCTTTTTTTACACAGCCGACTGCCTCCTGAAAACAATTTCTGTTGATATGAGCGGTGTACTGTTTGTTCCTACATGCCTGCCTGCATTCTGATGCCAGAATTGTGAAATGTGATATTTTCGTATGTGTTTGTGTCTTGTGCACGTCAAAGGACAATGATGGAGGGATGACAGCACAACTACCCAGTACCATCACGTCATTCCACCAAACAGGGCTGCGGCCTGGGGAAGAATACACTGTCAACCTGGTGGCCTTGAAAGACCAGGGAAGGAGCCAGCCTGTTACTGCAACCGTTATCACACGTACGCCTCTTACTCATTTACATTTATGCATTTGACAGACTTTTATTCCAAGCATTTTGCAATGCATTCAAGTATTACGCTTAGTGTATGTGTGTCCCCTGGGAATCAAATTCATGACCTTGGCATTGTTAGCACCATGCTGTACCAGCCGATCTATAGGAACACCCACGCCTCGCTGTTTCATTCTCCGATAACTCAATCGTTTTTTTTTCTTGAACTTGCTGTATATGTCTTTGATTTTTAATGACCTACCTAGAGTGGTTTGTGTGTCCCAATACATGCATTTTCTCATTACCCCTACAATGTCAGTATATTGCACCTTTAGTCAATAAGTTCTGTGTAAGATTCTATAGTGCAACTTAAGCCTTTTGTTCAGTAATTTGTTTCTGAAGAACTTGAAGACCATTTGCATGGCTCCACAGTGACAAAACTAATACATTCGTATGGTAATTAATTATCTACACTGCAAAAAATGCTTTTCTAGCTTAGATCTTTTGTCTTGTTTCCAGCCAAAATAACTAAAAATTCTTAAATCAAGAAGGATTTTCTAGACAAGTAAAAATTATTGTCTTGTTTTCAGAAAAAAACAAGTCGAATTCAAGCGAGTTTTTGCTTGAAACAAGCAAAATAATCTGCCAGTGGGGTAAGAAAAATAATCTTGTTTTCTGTTTGAAACAAGATTATTTTTCTTACCCCACTGGCAGATTATTTTGCTTGTTTCAAGCAAAAACTCGCTTGAATTCGACTTGTTTTTTTCTGAAAACAAGACAATAATTTTTACTTGTCTAGAAAATCCTTCTTGATTTAAGAATTTTTAGATATTTTGGCTGGAAACAAGACAAAAAATCTAAGCTAGAAAAGCATTTTTTGCAGTGTAGGAACGAGGTCTGTCATCACAATGTACCACTGTGTTCCAATATGACATTGAAAAAGCAATACTAGACACCTCTTGTCCACACTACGATACATTACTGATAAAATTTTCAGTTAATATGTTTGGTTTTTTTTTGCTTATTTGCAAATGTTTCAATGTATATTATATTATATTATATTAAACTGAAACAATATTTTTTGCAAACTGAAACAATATGCAAAAGACACTCAGTGTGTTATTATTATATTATATTATATTATATGTGACCCTGGACCACAAAACCAGTCTTAAGTAGCACAGATATATTTGTAGCAACAACCAAAAATACATTGTATGGGTCAAAATTATCGATTTTTTTTGTCAAAATCTCATTAGGATATTAAGCAAAGATCATGTTCCATTAAAATATTTTGTAAATTTCCTACCGTAAATATATCAAAACTTAGTTTTTGATTAGTAATAATCATTGCTTAGAACTTAATTTGGACAACTTTCAAGGTGATTTTCTTAGTATTTAGATTTTTTTGCACCCTCAGATTCCAGATGTTTAAATAGTTGTATATTGGCCAAATATTGTCCTATCCTAACAAACCATACATCAATGGAAAGGTTATTTATTCATGATGTATAAATCTCAATTTCCAAATATTGACGCTTATGGCTGGTTTTGTGGTCCATGGTCACATATTATATTATATTATATTATATTATATTATATTATGTTATGTTATGTTATATTATATTATATTTAGCGCTTTCAAATGATTTATCACAATTAATCTTATCCAAAACAAAAGTTTGTGTTTACAAAATATATGTGTGTACTGTGTATATTTATTATGTATATATAAATACACACACATACATGTATATATTTTTAAAAAATTATAAAGTTTGATATTGGATGTGATTAATTGTGATTAATCTTTTGACAGCATTATATAATTATATTATTATATTATAATGCCTTATTTAGTATCAGCCATCCCTAGATGACTGAATCAACTATGCTGACCAAGCAAGTAAGTTTTGTGATATACAGTGTATATGCTCTTAGTGTGGAAAGACAGAACAGAATGTTTCATCATTGATGGAGACATAAACGTTTGCAAAGCAAACAAATGCTCCTCGGGCGGATGCACAGTGCAGGGAGATCTAGTTTACCGTTGCTTTCTGTGTGCTGAGAAGATGAAAGAGCGAACAATGTGAAGTGTTTTTCCTTTCAGGTTACTCAGCCAGCTGAGTCACTAGTGTCTCTTTTGTAGATGGAGCTGACAAGTTGGAAGTGGCTTGAGCAGTGATTTCCTCCACCCATCTGCCATGTCCTGTTGTTTTTCCCGTCCTTGGTGCTGAAATCAGTAGTGCAGCAGTGAGGCTGAACAGAGGGCTCACCTTCAAACTATACTATGAATACAGTCATTTTACTGTTAGTTTGCTGACAGTGAGTTGTCAGAACAAAACACTATTGCAAATGTGTCTGACAAGACATGCAGAAAAACATACAGCCAGTGATATAGTGCACTCACGAAGGAAGGCATGTAAACAGAGATTTCAAATGGCATGTGAGAGGGGCCGAGCTGGGCTGGGAAGGTATAAACTGCAAGGAGGTGTCACATTGCTTCAGCTAATGGAAAATGTCACTATGATGAATGGGTGAGTCTGCCAGCAATTATGCACTTAATGTAAACTTCACCCAAGAATTCTTCTTCTGTCACTTACAGACAGGAGGATTAGATTCAATTGAACTTTTCCTGGACAATTGAAATTGCATGTCTGCTGTGAAAACGCCATTAATTTCTATGGGCTTCACTGTCGAGCATAATTAAAGATGCATTAATTATGCATGCAAGTCCATTAATATTTCACGCGTCCACTGCGGATACCTTATTGGATAAAGAAAGACAAATTTGATGTCACTTAATTATTTATGTGTGCAAAGATTTATCTATCCCCA